AGTGGGGAGTGGGATCCTTCACCGACCCACACGGTAAAGTATGGTTAAACACCCCCCCCCCCCACGCCCGACGCCGCCCCTTTCCCCCCCCCCCCCCCCAATGATGACGCAAAGTGGAGAGCCCCCCCATCCAGAATTGGACGGACCAAGAGCTGCAACAATTATCATAAATAATTCGCCCACAAGAGGGTTTTTTTTTTGGGGGGGGGGGGGGGGGTAGATCGCGTAAATATAAATGTCTCGCTAAAGCCGCCACCACACGACGCAGACAATTAGTTGGGGTTAATCACGTAAACAGTGCGTCAATTTAGTGACTAGTTCAGCACACCGGCTGTGTGTTGGGAGAGTCAAGCCGCGAGAACGTTTACAATTGGACGAGTGTGACGTTTCGCCGGTAATTACAACAAGCACCATCATCAGGCGTGACAGCCACAGTAAATGTGACACATTCGCGTGGCACGGTGGGGGTAAGAACGCGTCCAAGATAGTTCAAAAGTCCGAGCTGATGAGGGTGTCGACTCAGCCCATCATCTCTCCAAAGCGTCTAAGATGCAGGCGCCAGTTAAGGGAACTCAATTGTTGAGTCCGTCACAAAACCCGACATGGCAATGTGGAATTTCCACCGCGAGTTCTGCGTTGTCAGTCGAGCGGAGCACTTGAAACGCTCAGTCCATGCCAACACAGCAAACCCATCGGTGAGCACCACCTAAGGTGGTAAAACTAAACTTGAGGTCGCACAGAATTATCGATAAAGCAAATACGAGTGCGCCGTTCACATTTTGTTAGCGTGGCACCGAAAGCTATGGAACGCCGTGCCACTTAACATCAGGCAATCGGAGTCGGTAGATATAATTAAGTCTGCTTTGAAAACCCATCTCTATAGTGGCCTTCCCTCTCATTTAGTTTACCGCTCGTCATGCATTTCGCATTTGGATCTTAGGATGGAATGCGCATTATACATTTCAATGATTACTATTGGACCCCCACTCATTTCACATGGGCATCGCGATATTCACTGCGTATTGGCCACACAGAGAAACTGCAACCGGTGAAGATCTACCACCTATGGGGATGCCGAACAGCTGCACATCCGCTCCGGGCCTCATGGTCTGCTTTCACAGTCAATCTTTACTCACACGGGGAGGTCACTTTTTCTCTTCTGCTGCACCCACTGCCTGGAACTCCCTTCGCCCCAGCCACCCATGCTGTCGACTCTGTGTTCCTGTTCAAGTCCAGGCTCGAGAACTCCCTCTTCTGCTCTGCCTATGACTGACCGACTGCCTCCCTCCCTCTCTCTCTCTGAGAGGCCCACATATTCACAGGGACTTCACAGAGACACAGAGACCAATAGACTCACACAGAGACTCACAGACTCGCAGAGACCCACAGACTCACACGTAGCCCCACAGAGTTAGAGACCAATAGAGTCGGAGACTCCAGAGATACATACCCATGCACTCACACACAAACCAATAGACTCACACAGAGACCCACAGACTCACACGGAGCCCCACAGAGTTAGAGACCAATAGAGTCGGAGACTCCAGAGATACATACCCATGCACTCAAACACAAACCAATAGACTCACACAGAGACTCACAGACTCGCATAGAGCCCCACAGAGTTAGAGACCAATAGAGTCGGAGACTCCACAGAGATGCATACCCATGCACTCACACACAAACCAATAGACTCACACAGAGACTCATAGACTCGCATAGAGACCCACAGACTCACACGGAGCCCCGCAGAGTTAGAGACCAATAGAGTCGGATAGAGACCCATAAACTCACAACAAAAACCCGCACGGAGACCCGACTTGGCTGATTCTCTCTACATAGTAAATGCGCCCACGGTTTTCTGTGCAGCGTCTAAGAGATGCGGTGGCTTTTAGTCGGCACTTTGTTAATCCGCACTCCGCTGCAACTGCACAGACTTGCATAGAGACCCACAGACTCGCATAGAGACCCACAGACTCGCATAGAGACCCACAGACTCGCATAGAAACCCACAAACTGGCATAGAGACCCACAGACTGGCCGAGAGACTTGAGTGGAGACCCACAGACTCGCATAGAGACCCACAGACTCGCATAGAGACCCACAGACTCGTATAGAGACCCACAGACTCGTATAGAGACCCACAGACTCGTATAGAGACCCACAGACTCGCATAGAGACCCACAGACTCGTATAGAGACCCACAGACTCGCATAGAGACCCACAGACTCGCATAGAGACCCACAGACTCGTATAGAGACCCACAGACTCGTATAGAGACCCACAGACTCGCATAGAGACCCACAGACTCGTATAGAGACCCACAGACTCGCATAGAGACCCACAGACTCGTATAGAGACCCACAGACTGGCCTAGAGACTTGAGTGGAGACCCACAGACTCCCATAGAGACCCACAGACTCGCATAGAGAGCCACGGACTGGCCTAGAGACCCACAGACTCGCATAGAGACCCACAGACTCGCATAGAGACCCACAAACTCGCATAGAGATCCACAAACTCGCATAGAGACCCACGGACTCGCACGGAGACCTATGGACTTGCATAGCGTCCCGTCAGATCCCCCCGTGTAGCCTTAAACAGACTGTTGGGGCAAGTGCTGTGAGCGAGCAGCACCTATGAAGGCCGGAGCGGCAGACGAGGGGGAGGGGGGTGGCCAGCACCACGCCCGGCCGCCTTTGTCTCCCCGAGTGGCGATGTTGAGAGCGCGCACGAGGTGACCATTCGAGGATGAGTCGACCGAGGCGAGGACCGGTTCAGATAAATCGTCACCGGTGTCGCGGGACTTTCAGAGCGTGCGCTCGTGTTGGGTGGGGGGTGGGGGGAGGGAGGGAGGTCAAATCAGCCTGCCCCCCCCCACCCACCTCCATCAACCCCCGCCGCAATAATCGGCCCGTTCTCTCCGACAACGCCGCGCGTTGTTCTCATCAACGTGAATTGGCGACAACGCGATGATGAACGTTACGAGGGAACGCAGTTTTTTGTTATAACGCGAACGCCAGTTAGATGCAACGCGATCACGTGACCGCGAGAGGAGTCGGAGCAAGCGGCCGCACGACTGCCTCGCCGCAGCATAGCGCACGCCGGATCGGTGTGGGATGCTGCCGGATCGGTGTGGGATGCTGCCGGATCGGTGTGGGATGCTGCCGGATCGGTGTGGGATGCTGCCGGATCGGTGTGGGATGCTACCGGATCGGTGTGAGATGCTGCCGGATCGGTGTGGGATGCTGCCGGATCGGTGTGGGATGCTGCCGGATCGGTGTGGGATGCTGCCGGATCGGTGTGGGATGCTGCCGGATCGGTGTGGGATGCTGCCGGATCGGTGTGGGATGCTACCGGATCGGTGTGAGATGCTGCCGGATCGGTGTGGGATGCTGCCGGATCGGAGGATGCTACTGGATCGGAGGGGGATGCTGCCGGATCGGCGTGGGATGCTGCCGGATCGGCGTGGGATGCTACTGGATCGGTGTGGGATGCTGCCGGATCGGCGTGGGATGCTGCCGGATCGGTGTGGGATGCTGCCGGATCGGCGTGGGATGCTGCCGGATCGGCGTGGGATGCTGCCGGATCGGTGTGGGATGCTGCCGGATCGGTGTGGGATGCTGCCGGATCGGTGTGGGATGCTGCCGGATCGGTGTGGGATGCTGCCGGATCGGTGTGGGATGCTACCGGATCGGTGTGAGATGCTGCCGGATCGGTGTGGGATGCTGCCGGATCGGTGTGGGATGCTGCCGGATCGGTGTGGGATGCTGCCGGATCGGTGTGGGATGCTGCCGGATCGGTGGGGGATGCTGCCGGATCGGTGTGGGATGCTACCGGATCGGTGTGAGATGCTGCCGGATCGGTGTGGGATGCTGCCGGATCGGAGGATGCTACTGGATCGGAGGGGGATGCTGCCGGATCGGCGTGGGATGCTGCCGGATCGGCGTGGGATGCTACTGGATCGGTGTGGGATGCTGCCGGATCGGCGTGGGATGCTGCCGGATCGGTGTGGGATGCTGCCGGATCGGCGTGGGATGCTGCCGGATCGGCGTGGGATGCTGCCGGATCGGCGTGGGATGCTGCCGGATCGGTGTGGGATGCTGCCGGATCGGCGTGGGATGCTGCCGGATCGGCGTGGGATGCTGCCGGATCGGCGTGGGATGCTGCCGGATCGGCGTGGGATGCTGCTGGAACGGCGTGGGATGCTCCCCAAGCGCCCTCAGCCTGTGCTTGGCCTGCGTTACGCATCGCGCGCATTATCGCCGACTGGGCTTTACCCCCTCGACTACATATTATTGACCATCAGTGCGATGTTTTCATAAAAGCGGTGGTTCCCCAACAACGCCACTATGACGAAAACAGACCCCGTAGGTACCCCGCTACGAACGACACCTCGACCACCGCCACCGCGACCACGACTCGCGCGATCTCCCTCGTCGTACCCGTCGCTTGGCGGCGACAAAGCCGTGGACCGCCGCGTGCAGCGACGCAGTCCCAACAAAAACACTATAAAGGCGCAGCCCTGCACGTGTATTTGGCCTACTCTTCCACGCGGAACAGACGTCGTCAAGAGGTGGGAGGAGTCACCACCACACTTTCGCACCGCCACATGCCACCTGCCGGTCGGCTAACCGAGGCGTCACCCATCTAATGCCGCTGGGTGGGCAAAGTTGACGGTGAGTTTAAGAATCCAGCGTCGGTGTCGCACTGCCGCGACAGGGAGCAGCTGACCGTCACGTGGGCCCTGGCAGCTCCCTGATATTGAATATCGTGACGTTAATGTTGCACTGGTGTTCACGGTGGGTGGAGCGGTGGCGCAGTGGTTAGCGCAGTGTGCTACGGACACGAGTTCGATTCCTGGCCACGGCCACCGATATCATTGGCGAAGGTTGGCACCAACCTCCCTCCCTGCCTGCCCCCTTCCCACACCCCGAATTTCACCCTGTACTGACCGGCGCGGTGATGTATGGTCAAATAACCCACAGTGTGCGGAATCCTTCAGCAGTAGAGCGATTAATGTTGTCGTAGTGTAGGGGGCGAGAGACCCCAACAGCCGCGGAGTTTGATTCGGATCAATTAACAACAGGTACCAGACTTCAACATCGGCCCCATCACCAACCCCCGTAACATTCATCACCAAACACACCCGCCACCACCACAACCATCACCCACGAGCAGAGCACGGACATGAACCACACAGCCAAGCCGGCGCCCTCGCCAACGGAGATCATCGCCAGCCGAGCAGCATCACCAAATATAGCACCAATACTAAGAGGGCACCATCACTTAGCAAGCCACAACCACCACCACCAACCCGCCTGGCACCATCCCCATCGCAAGCAAGCGCCCCCGCCCAGTCTCTCGACAACACACCGGGGGTCACGGGGGAAATCACAGAGGGGTCACGGGGGTCACGGGGTCACAGGGGAGAGCTCACCCAATCACAGCAAGCTGCCTGCGCGCTGCTGTCAACCAGCCCGCGGGGGTGTGTGGACCGACTTGCTGTGTCGCCTAGCGACAGCGTCACCGACGGCTATAGTTTGGCTGTAGTTTGTTGTAGTGCGGCTGTAGTTGTTTATAGTTTGGCTGTAGTTTTCTGTGGTTCGCCTGTGGCTGCTTGGAGTTTTGGCTGAAGTTTATAATAATTTGTTGAGTTTGGCTGTAGTTTGGCTGTAGTTTGGCTGTAGTTTGGCATCAGTTTGGCTGTTTGTTGGAATTTAGTTGTATTTTTACTTTAGTTTGTTTGTAGTTGGTTGTAGTTTGGCTGTAGCAGCTTGTGGTTTTGGCCGTTAGCGGCTTGTACGTTGGCTGTAGTTGCTTGTAGTGTTGCCCGTGGTTGCTTGTAAGCATGGCTGTAGCTGGGCTTGGCGATCTGTATCTCATGCTACCGACTGTTGAGTGTCAGGCAGCCGCTTCTGGCTGTGTCTGCTGGCCCAGGTTGGCTGTTTATAAGTTCCACTGCCTGTTGCTGCTGCTGCTGCTGCTGTGGAACATTTTGAGCCACAGTGGCGATCGTGGACGGCAGGTTTGGTAAGCTATGGCGGGTCCGGTGAGTTGTGGTGGGTCCGGTGAGCAGCGGTGGGATCGGTGAGTTGTGGTGGGATTGGTGAGTTGCAGAGGTGTGGACTCGAGTCATGTGACTTGGACTCGAGTCAGACTCGAGTCATGAATTTGATGACTTCAGACTCGACTTGGACTTGCATAACAATGACTTTGTCCCACCTCTGGTGAGTTGTGGTGGGATCGGTGACTTGTCGTGGGATCGGTGAGTTGTGGTGGGATCGGTGAGTTGTAGTGGGATCGGTGAGTTGTGGTGGGTCCGGTGAGTTGTGGTGGGATCGGTGAGTTGTGGTGGGATCGGTGACTTGTCGTGGGATTGGTGAGTTGTGGTGGGATCGGTGAGTTGTGGTGGGATCGGTGAGTTGTGGTGGGTCCGGTGAGTTGTGGTGGGATTGGTGAGTTGTGGTGGGATCGGTGAGTTGTGGTGGGATCGGTCAGTTATGGTGGGATCGGTGAGTTGTGGTGGGATCGGTGAGTTGTGGTGGGATTGGTCAGTTATGGTGGGTCCGGTGAGTTGTGGTGGGTCTGGTGAGCAGCGGTGGGTCCGGTGAGTTGTGGTGGGATCGGTGAGTTGTGGTGGGATCGGTGAGTTGTGGTGGGATTGGTCAGTTATGGTGGGTCCGGTGAGTTGTGGTGGGTCCGGTGAGTTGTGGTGGGTCTGGTGAGTTGTGGTGGGATCGGTGAGTTGTGGTGGGATCGGTGAGTTGTGGTGGGATTGGTCAGTTATGGTGGGTCCGGTGAGTTGTGGTGGGTCCGGTGAGTTGTGGTGGGTCTGGTGAGTTGTGGTGGGATCGGTGAGTTGTGGTGGGTCCGGTGAGTTGTGGTGGGATCGGTGAGTTGTGGTGGGATCGGTGAGTTGTGGTGGGATCGGTGAGTTGTGGTGGGATCAGTGAGTTGTGGTGGGATCGGTGAGTTGTGGTGGGTCCGGTGAGTTGTAGTGGGATTGGTGAGTTGTGATGGGATCGGTGAGTTGTGGTGGGATTGGTGAGTTATGGTGGGATCGGTGAGCTGTGGACAGGGGGTACGGCGAGTCGTGGACAGGGGGTACGGTGAGTCGTGGACAGGGGGTTCGGTGAGTCGTGGACAGGGGGTACGGTGAGTCGTGGACAGGGGGTTCGGCGAGTCGTGGGCAGGGGGTACGGTGAGTCGTGGACAGGGGGTACGGCGAGTCGTGGACAGGGGGTACGGCGAGTCGTGGACAGGGGGTACGGTGAGTCGTGGACAGGGGGTACGGTGAGTCGTGGACAGGGGGTACGGTGAGTCGTGGACAGGGGGTACGGTGAGTCGTGGACAGGGGGTACGGTGAGTCGTGGGCAGGGGGTACGGTGAGTCGTGGGCAGGGGGTACGGCGAGTCGTGGGCAGGGGGTTCGGTGAGTCGTGGGCAGGGGGTACGGTGAGTCGTGGACAGGGGGTACGGTGAGTCGTGGACAGGGGGTACGGTGAGTCGTGGACAGGGGGTACGGTGAGCCGTGGACAGGGGGTACGGTGAGCCGTGGGCAGGGGGTACGGCGAGTCGTGGGCAGGGGGTTCGGTGAGTCGTGGGCAGGGGGTACGGTGAGTCGTGGACAGGGGGTACGGTGAGTCGTGGGCAGGGGGTACGGTGAGTCGTGGACAGGGGGTTCGGTGAGTCGTGGGCAGGGGGTACGGTGAGCCGTGGACAGGGGGTACGGTGAGTCGTGGGCAGGGGGTACGGTGAGTCGTGGACAGGGGGTTCGGCGAGTCGTGGGCAGGGGGTACGGCGAGTCGTGGGCAGGGGGTACGGTGAGCCGTGGACAGGGGGTACGGTGAGTCGTGGACAGGGGGTACGGCGAGTCGTGGACAGGGGGTACGGTGAGTCGTGGACAGGGGGTACGGTGAGTCGTGGACAGGGGGTATGGCGAGTCGTGGACAGGGGGTACGGTGAGTCGTGGACAGGGGGTATGGCGAGTCGTGGACAGGGGGTACGGTGAGCCGTGGACAGGGGGTTCGGTGAGCCGTGCCGAGGTCGATCGGCATTGGTGGGGTCAGTTGATCTTGGCACAATCAATCAGCCATGCCGGGTTTCGGTTAGCCATGGCGGCAAAATCTGTGTGTGTATCCGTGGCGGGCATTTATCCTTGGCGTGTGTGTGCGTATGTGTGTGTATCCATGGGGTGTGTGTGTGTCCGTGGGGTGTGTGTGTGTATCCGTGGTGTGTGTGTATCCATGGCGTGTGTGTGTGTGTCCGTGGGGTGTGTGTGTGTATCCGTGGTGTGTGTATCCGTGTGTGTGTGTATCCGTGTGTGTGTGGTGTGTGTGTGTGTGTATCCATGGTGTGTGTGTGTCCGTGGTGTGTGTGTGTGTGTATCCGTGGTGTGCGTGTGTGTGTATCCGTGGCGTGTGTGTGTGTGTGTATCCGTGGCGTGCGTGCGCGTGCGTGTGTGTATCCTGGGCAGGTGTGTCTCCGTATCCGTAGCGAGCTCAGTTATCGGTGGGAGAGGCCATGGAGCTGTAGCCAGGGCTGGGCGGGTCTACGTGGAGTTGGGAGCTCTCCGTGGCGGGCCGAGGTTGCTGCGAAATTATCGGCACCGTGTCGTCACCACCGCCGCCGCCACCATCGTCACCTTCTGCACACGTGCACACACACAGGGTGTCACCGTCGCCGCCGACATCACCTTCTGCACAGGTACACATGTACACAGGTACGTGGGTGTGCATGTACACATACACGGATGCATAAACACATACACACATGGGTGTCGAGACGCACAGTAACGCATGCACCTTCCATTAGCATGGTTGGCTACGTACGGCGCGATAGAAGTTCAACATACGTGTGTGCGTGTGCACGCACAGGGACAAAGATCCCCCGTGTAGCCTTAACAGACTGTAGGGGCAAGTGCTGTTAGCGAGCACCTATGAAGGCCGGAACGGTACACGAGGGGGTGGGTGGCCAGCACGCACAAGGACACACGCACACGTGGACGAAAATAAAGGCACGAGCACATAATACATCAGACAAAGATCCCCCGTGTAGTCTCAACAGACTGTTGGGGCAAGTGCTGTTAGCGAGCAGCACCTGTGAAGGCCGGCACTGTGGCACTCGAGGGGGTGGGTGGCCAGCACCACGCCCGGCCGCCTTTGTCTCCCCAGTGACAAAATAGACACACCGCTCCGGGCACCCATTTGAAGAGGCTCAGAACCTGTTCAGATAATCGCCGCTGGTGTCGTTGGCCGTGAGCGGGGATCGAGCTATATTGATCCTGCCTCAGCAGTCCGCCTGCTGTATTTTGTCACCTGAAGACGATTGCTCGTGTTGCGATCGAAACGTCGTGATTTTTTATTATTGTAATTATTTTTATTCTATCCACGCGACTTTACCGAAAGACCCAAAGAGCGGCGATTGGTTCGTATCGTTTTATTTGTATTTTTTTAATATTATTTCCCTTCTACGTGACTTTACCGAAAGAACCAAGAAGATGAATCCCTGAAGTCACCAAAGCTTTGAATCTCAACCCAAAGAGCAGTAATTGGTTCCACGCGAGACCTGCAGTTAAGTGATTTGGTCGTCAAGCGAGGAGAGAAAAGACACGCGAAGGGCTTCATCCGTTACGGTGGCATCGAAAGTGACCCTTTTACACCCAAAATCATATTGAAACAACATAAACACGTAACATTCAAATAGACATGGTTGATCAATGCATTAACATTTACCATCGTTAACAGGGGAATGGTCGGTAAGCAAACACATTGGGCTCTATGGAGGCTACTACACCACTATATGCTACACAGTATACACTACACTATACACTACACACACATTGGGCTCTATGGAGGCTACTACACCACGATATGCTACACAGTATACACTATACTATACACTACACACACATTGGGCTCTATGGAGGCTACTACACCACTATATGCTACACAGTATACACTACACTACACAGTATACACTACACAGTATACACTACACTATACATTATACACTACACTACACACTACACAGTATACACTACACAGTATACACTACACTATACACTACAAACACATTGGGCTCTATGGAGGCCTGGCGTTAAGGGATTAGTCGTGAACAGGGGTGGTCGTTAAGAGGAGTTTCGACTGTACACGTTTTATTATTTTATATTTATAGAGCGGCTTTGTTTAAAATGCTCTATAGATATACTTTCACACACCGTGCACACACACACACGACACACCCTTCCCCCGCACCTCCAATTAGCACGGTTGGCTATGTATGGTGCGAAAGAAGTTCAACATACATACATGTACGCGTGCGCGCGCCCACACACACACGTGTGATAAGCCAGCTGTGGATTTTCTCAGACCGCAGTAGAAATTTAATGATTGCCAAGCCACTGCATGAGAGGTCGTTACGAGCAAAATAACAGAGGTTACGATCGAAGTATCGGAGGGATATCGATAAATATATCGGATAAATAATGATCAATATCACAGAGAGATGATCATTATAACAGAGATACAGATAAATATATCATCATCAATATATCAAAGAGATAACGATCAATCGATCGCAGAGATAAGAAGAGTGCGTCTAGGTGAACTTTGCTGATGTGTGCTCGCGCGCACTCACGCAGGCTCACACACGCAGGCTCACACATGCAGGCTCACACACGCTCGCTCCAACACACGCAGGCTCACACACGCAGGCTCACACACGCAGGCTCACACACGCTCGCTCCAACACACGCTCGCTCCAACACACGCAGGCTCACACACGCAGGCTCACACACGCAGGCTCACACACGCAGGCTCACACACGCAGGCTCCAACACACGCTCGCTCCAACACACGCAGGCTCACACACGCAGGCTCACACACGCTCGCTCCAACACACGCAGGCTCACACACGCTCGCTCCAACACACGCAGGCTCACACACGCAGACTCACACACGCAGGCTCCAACACACGCAGGCTCACACACGCTCGCTCACACACACGCAGGCTCACATACGCAGGCTCACACACACGCAGGCTCACACACGCAGACTCACACACGCTCGCTCACACACACCATCCTGGGTCACACAACGAACAAAGTTGTCATCAGTGTCGCGTGTGACTGACAATCGAACCCTGGCATCAGAAAATTTGCTCAGTGTCACACACACACCCCTGTGTCACACACACACCCTGTGTCACACACACACACCCTGCTCACTGTGTCACACACACACAGTGTCACACACACACACACACCCCGCTCACTGTGCCACACACACATGCACCGTGCCACACACACACACGCACACTGCTCAATCTCACACACACACACGCACACTGCTTACTTGCTGGCTATGGTTAGGAGCCTGCGGATGACTGTGGTGGGGGTAAACACACGGGCTGCGTGACTACAGGCGGCCGCTCTCCTGAGGAGGACACAGACAACAGAGACACAAACAGAAGATCCCCCAAATCGCCTTCTTACTGACATGTGGGCCCGGTGCCCTTAGCGAGAAGCACCTACGAAGGCCGGCACGGCGCCCCACCTCTGTGTGGGCGACGTGGCCAGCACGACGCCCGGCCGCCTTTGTCTCCCCAATGCTAATGCTCGAAATGTTTTACGCAAACACGGCACCAGGTACTCATTTGAGGCCGAGCCGACCTAGGGGAGGCGGGTCCAGGAACCAGTTTCAGATTCTCATCGCTGACGATCGTGGAGAGTGGGAACTGAACTCGGGTTGTGGGGCGCGCTAACCGCTGCGCCACCGCTCCTCGCTAGACTCATTGACAGACGCACACAGACACATACACACAGATGCACATGCACACACACAGATGCACATGTACACACAGGGACACCACACATGAACACGTTTATACACAGGCAAGCATGTTCAGGATACACACCCCCACTCACGCACGCACCAACAAAGGTACACCCCCCTTATGCGCGCACAGTAGTACACACACACTCATGTAAGCACATGCACGCACAGGTACACACACACGCACGCACGCATGCACACAGTAGGACACGTATATACACACAGGCCCAGGTACACAACTCATGCACGCACCCACACAGGCACACACACGCACACGGTGGTACACATACACAGGGCCGGACACAAACCCAAACACACACACACGCACGCTCAAATAACGATGTTCCAGGGCCAGCCACCCCATTCGCCCTGATCACACCGGCGCGTGTGTAATAAGGGATGTCCCGAGATGAGGACCCTATTCGGAAATAAATAGATGAACACGTAAATATCCACACTCACCGGGTCCCTAGCGACTTCCTCGAGAGTTGGAACAGCACACGCTCGGGTCTCATGGGTGGGGGGCGGGGGGGGCAGGAGCGGACGCGGGGCAGGGCGCCCAATCGGATTTGAGCGTGGAGCGCAGTTCAAAATCGGATTGGTCGATGGGAAAAACTAAACGGAGACGGGGCGGTGGGAAGGGGGGGGGGGGGAACCGAAGAGGGGGGTTGGTGGAGTGCAGAGGTCGCAAACGGGTTTTGATTCCTTACCCGTACCCAGCCGCACCAGGATCGCAAACGGGTACCCGATACCCGGCTACCTGTACCCGGCCGGGTATCGGGTAGGGAACGGGTACCCGATTGCGACCTCTGGGATGAAGCCATGTTGCAGGCGCGGATGGGTTGATTCTAGGAACTTGAATTGTGAGAGAGACAAGACGTTGGGAAATGAGTGACAAACGGTTACTCACCAGCGACTCACGGCCTACCCGTACCCGTACCCGGCCGCACCAGGGTCGCAAACGGGTACCCGCACCCGTACCCGGCCGGGTACGGGTAGCCGGGTATCGGGTAGGGTACGGGTATCGGGTACCCGGTTGCGACCTCTGGTGGAGAGTCGTGGAAAGTTCGGGAGAGGATGAGGGAGAGAATACACGGGGTGGATAGAATGGTGGGGGGTAGGGGGGGGGATTCGGAGTGCCGGCTGTGTGGAAGACGGAATCAAGGCGAGGTTCAAGATTCATCCGGCTGGAATTTCTTCGCACCAGCGACTGATATTGACCGTTCCATGGTGCGTGCGTGAATGGCATGCGTGCATATTTGAAAACATTTTTGTTTAAGTGCTTTGTTCACCTCCCCTATACTTTGCACTCCAATCGTGCTTGTGTACCGTTTTGCGTTGTAACATTGTGAGCACGTGACCCATACTGGACATCTGAGTATACACGAACTTTATAGCCCACTGCATTCCCTCCGTACGAATGCATATTCTGAAGTGGTGCATGCGTGCGTACACATGTACACGTGTGGACGTGTGGCCGTGCGATGGTTTGCACGCGCATGCCTGCCATTCGTGTAGTCAGGTCTGGGGCGTGGTGCTGGCCACCCACCCCCTCGTGATGCCGTGCCAGGCCTTCGTAGGTGCTACTCGCTAGCAGCACTTGCCCCAACAGTGAAGGCTACAAGGGGGACCTTTGCTTTTGTTCGTCAGTCAGTTAGCAACGCTCACAAAAAACCGAGTGTCGGAGCGGCGGGCAGGGCAGCTAAAACGCAGTGAGTTGGCAGTGCAGGGGGGGGGGGGTGGCACAGGTGGTGCATCTGCCAGCCATCTCAGTCAGCCAACCTATCATGGTACCTCGGTCTAACGGTGCACCTAGCCTGGCACTAGCACCGTGGTGACGCCACCGCAGTTTAGTCGCGAACGCCGGTTGTTGTTGTTGTTTGATTGCACGTGTATAAGGATGTTTACCCGCGCGTCCGTGAATGTGAAAGCACGTGTACATGTGTATGCACATGCACCACTTGCATGCGAGTGTGCATGTGTGTGTGTGTAAAGACGCGTGTCCCTGCTTGCCCAGCCACCACATGCCCATGCAGCTTGTCTGTTCGGATAGAGGGGGCTAAATGAGCGTGGCACGGGCTAGAGACGAGATGGACTGCTGCGGTACATGAGTGGGGACTTGGCGATGACCGGTACCAGTGGTGTCAAGATCGGCCTCTGTGGAGGAGGCTCGTGAACGACGCTGCTGCTACTGGGGAGTTGGAGGCGGTCGCCCTCCAGCAACAACGGAGGGCGGAGGAGCGACGCTCACAACAACGAGCGGAGCGCCGGGCGGCTAAAACGCAGCGAGTTGGCACAGTAAGGAGCACAGGTGGTGGATCTGCCAGTCATCTCAGTCAGTCAACCCATGTCACATGACCTCCTGCAGGTAAGCTTTCCACACCTGCACGTGGCCTCATGGTGTACCTTGCCTGGCACAATCACTGTGGTCATGTCGGCACCGCTCAGTGGCGAACGGCAGTTGCTGTGCATGTATCTGCATAGGTACATTTGTGCACGTGTGTGCATACGTGTGTGCATACGTGTGTGCATACGTGTGTACGCGCGTGTACGCGTGTGTGGGTGTACACGCGTGTGCGTACCGTGTGTGTGTGTATGCGCGTGTACGCATGTGTACACGCGCGTGTGCACACCGTGTGAGTGTGTGTACACGCATGCGAGTGTGTGTACACGCATGTGTGTGTACACGTGCGTGTGTGTACACGTGCGTGTGTGTACACGTGCGTGTGTGTACACGTGCGTGAGTGTGTGTACACGTGCGTGTGTGTACACGTGCGTGTGTGTACACGCGCGTGTGTGTGTGTACACGTGCGTGTGTGTGTGTACACGTGCGTGTGTGTACACGTGCGTGTGTGTGTGTACACGTGCGTGAGTGTGTGTACACGTGCGTGTGTGTACACGCGCGTGGGCGTACCGTGTGAATCGAGGTCGTCGCTGGGTGGGACGCCGCCACCGTCCGTGAACTCGTGGGGGGGGTCCGGCTTGCAGTGTCCGCAGCAGCAGTTGCAGCAGCAGCACAGGCAGCAGCAGCAGTAGCAGCCGGTGAGGATCCCACACACCACGAAGCAAGCCTGGGGAGACGCGGGGGAGACGCGGGGGGGGGGGGGAGAGATAGAGGGAGCGAGAGACACGGAGGGGGTCACAGGGGAGACACGGTGGGAGACAGAATCAGGATATTTATTCCCGACTGGAGGAATCCAATGAGCTATAAACCTCTTTCACAGACGTGTAAGCCGGGGCACGGAAAAAGAACGTCAACAACAACAAAAATGACACAAACACGATGGGAGTACAAAGTAGAATAAAAGGTAAACAAATGACCCAAACACAAAACAACATCAACTAAACCATCCCCCCATCCTTCCAGGCAAAGCCCACTCACAAGCAACCTGGCCACAAATGCTATCTCACCAAAAGTGGCCCAGCATTTGGACATTCATAGCACCAACGCAAGACACGGGTTGAGAGCATTCCAAACGATTAGGGTCATAGGAAGCGTCATCATCAGCCATGGCCGATCCACTGCTGGATGAAGGCTTCCCAAAGTCGTTGCCAGCGTCTAAAGTTCTGCAGGGAAGACGGCAGCAAGCGAGCTCAGCTTACCCCATTGCCTGCCATGACATTACCGATTCCAATTCCTGACCTTACACGAGCACGGGCTATGCGCTTAACCCTCACATGACCTAAGCCTGACCAATACGAAGCATCGTTGTACGTGTGTTGAACTTCTTTCGCACCATACGTGGCCAACCGTGATAATCGGAGGTGTAGTGTTGAGTCTATGGGCAGTGTTGAGTCTATGGGCAGTGTTAGTCTATGGGCAGTGTTAGTCTATGGGCAGTGTTAGTCTATGGGTAGTGTTAGTCTATGGGTAGTGTTAGTCTATGGGTAGTGTTGAGTCTATGGGTAGTGTTGAGTCTATGGGTAGTGTTAGTCTATGGGTAGTGTTGAGTCTATGGGCAGTGCTGAGTTTATGGGTAGTGTTGAGTTTATGGGTAGTGTTAGTCTATGGGCAGTGTTAGTCTATGGGCAGTGTTAGTCTATGGGCAGTGTTAGTCTATGGGCAGTGTTAGTCTATGGGTAGTGTTGAGTCTATGGGTAGTGTTGAGTCTATGGGTAGTGTTGAGTCTATGGGCAGTGTTAGTCTATGGGCAGTGTTAGTCTATGGGTAGTGTTGAGTCTATGGGTAGTGTTGAGTCTATGGGCAGTGTTGAGTCTATGGGTAGTGTTGAGTCTATGGGTAGTGTTGAGTCTATGGGCAGTGTTGAGTCTATGGGTAGTGTTGAGTCTATGGGTAGTGTTGAGTCTATGGGTAGTGTTGAGTCTATGGGTAGTGTTGAGTCTATGGGTAGTGTTGAGTCTATGGGTAGTGTTGAGTTTATGGGTAGTGTTGAGTTTATGGGTAGTGTTAGTCTATGGGCAGTGTTGAGTCTATGGGTAGTGTTGAGTCTATGGGTAGTGTTGAGTCTATGGGCAGTGTTGAGTCTATGGGTAGTGTTGAGTCTATGGGTAGTGTTGAGTCTATGGGTAGTGTTGAGTCTATGGGTAGTGTTGAGTCTATGGGTAGTGTTGAGTCTATGGGTAGTGTTGAGTTTATGGGTAGTGTTAGTCTATGGGCAGTGTTAGTCTATGGGCAGTGTTAGTCTATGGGCAGTGCTAGTCTATGGGCAGTGTTAGTCTATGGGCAGTGTTAGTCTATGGGCAGTGTTAGTCTATGGGTAGTGTTGAGTCTATGGGTAGTGTTGAGTCTATGGGTAGTGTTGAGTCTATGGGAAGTGTTAGTCTATGGGTAGTGTTAGTCTATGGGCAGTGTTAGTCTATGGGTAGTGTTAGTCTATGAGCAGTGTTAGTCTATGGGTAGTGTTGAGTCTATGGGTAGTGTTGAGTCTATGGGTAGTGTTGAGTCTATGGGTAGTGTTGAGTCTATGGGTAGTGTTGAGTCTATGGTAGTGTTGAGTCTATGGGTAGTGTTGAGTCTATGGGTAGTGTTGAGTCTATGGGTAGTGTTAGTCTATGGGTAGTGTTGAGTCTATGGGTAGTGTTGAGTCTATGTGTAGTGTTAGTCTATGGGCAGTGTTAGTCTATGGGTAGTGTTGAGTCTATGGGCAGTGTTGAGTCTATGGGTAGTGTTGAGTCTATGGGTAGTGTTAGTCTATGGGTAGTGTTGAGTCTATGGGTAGTGTTGAGTCTATGGGTAGTGTTAGTCTATGGGCAGTGTTGAGTCTATGGGGAGTGTTAGTCTATGGGCAGTGTTGAGTCTATGGACAGTGTTGAGTCTATGGGCAGTGTTAGTCTATGGCCAGTGTTGAGTCTATGGGCAGTGTTAGTCTATGGGCAGTGTTGAGTCTATGGGTAGCGTTGAGTCTATGGGCAGTGTTAGTCTATGGGTAGTGTTGAGCCTATGGGCAGTGTTAGTCTATGGGTAGTGTTGAGTCTATGGGTAGTGTTAGTCTATGGGTAGTGTTAGTCTATGGACAGTGTTGAGTCTATGGGTAGTGTTAGTCTATGGACAGTGTTGAGTCTATGGACAGTGTTGAGTCTATGGGTAGTGTTAGTCTATGGACAGTGTTGAGTCTACGGACAGTGTTAGTCTATGGGCAGTGTTAGTCTATGGACAGTGTTGAGTCTATGGGTAGTGTTAGACTATGGACAGTGTTGAGTCTATGGACAGTGTTAGTCTATGGGTAATGTTAGTCTATGGGCAGTGTTAGTCTATGGGCAGTGTTAGTCTATGGGGAGTGTTAGTCTATGGGGATTGTTGAGTCTATGAGCAGTGTTAGTCTATGGGTAGTGTTGAGTCTATGGGTAGTGTTGAGTCTATGGGAAGTGTTAGTCTATGGGTAGTGTTAGTCTATAGGCAGTGTGAGTCTATGGGCAGTGTTAGTCTATGGGCAGTGTTGAGTCTATGGGCAGTGTTGAGTCTATGGGCAGTGTTAGTCTATGGGCAGTGTTGAGTCTATGGGCAGTGTTGAGTCTATGGGGCAGTGTAGTCTATGGCAGTGTGAGTCTATGGGTAGCGTTGAGTCTATGGGCAGTGTTAGTCTATGGGAAGTGTTGAGCCTATGGGCAGTGTTAGTCTATGGGTAGTGTTAGTCTATGGACAGTGTTGAGTCTATGGGTAGTGTTAGTCTATGGACAGTGTTGAGTCTATGGACAGTGTTGAGTCTATGGACAGTGTTAGTCTATGGGCAGTGTTGAGTCTATGGACAGTGTTAGTCTATGGACAGTGTTGAGTCTATGGGCAGTGTTGAGTCTATGGGTAGTGTTGAGTCTATGGACAGTGTTGAGTCTATGGACAGTGTTAGTCTATGGACAGTGTTGAGTCTATGGACAGTGTTAGTCTATGGGCAGTGTTGAGTCTATGGACAGTGTTAGTCTATGGACAGTGTTGAGTCTATGGACAGTGTTAGTCTATGGACAGTGTGTTGAGTCTATGGACAGTGTTGAGTCTATGGCAGTGTTAGTCTATGGACAGTGTTGAGTCTATGGACAGTGTTGAGTCTATGGACAGTGTTGAGTCTATGGGTAGTGTTAGTCTATGGACAGTGTTAGTCTATGGACAGTGTTGAGTCTATGGACAGTGTTAGTCTATGGGCAGTGTTGAGTCTATGGGCAGTGTTAGTCTATGGGTAGTGTGAGTCTATGGACAGTGTTGAGTCTATGGACAGTGTTGAGTCTATGGACAGTGTTGAGTCTATGGACAGTGTTAGTCTATGGGTAGTGTTGAGTTTATGGGCAGTGTTAGTCTATGGGTAGTGTTGAGTCTATGGGCAGTGTTAGTCTATGGGCAGTGTTAGTCTATGGGCAGTGTTAGTCTATGGGCAGTGTAGTCTATGGGCAGTGTTGAGTCTATGGGTAGTGTTGAGTCTATGGGCAGTGTTAGTCTATGGGCAGTGTTAGTCTATGGCAGTGTTAGTCTAGGACAGTGTTGAGTCTATGGACAGTGTTTAGTCTATGGGTAGTGTTGAGTTTATGGGCAGTGTTAGTCTATGGGTAGTGTTGAGTCTATGGGCAGTGTTAGTCTATGGGTAGTGTTGAGTTTATGGGCAGTGTTTGTTAGTCTATGGGCAGTGTTAGTCTATGGGCAGTGTTAGTCTATGGGCAGTGTTAGTCTATGGACAGTGTTAGTCTATGGACAGTGTTGAGTCTATGGGCAGTGTTAGTCTATGGACAGTGTGAGTCTATGGACAGTGTTGAGTCTATGGACAGTGTTGAGTCTATGGACAGTGTTGAGTCTATGGACAGTGTTAGTCTATGGGTAGTGTTGAGTTTATGGGCAGTGTTAGTCTATGGGAAGTGTTGAGTCTATGGGAAGTGTTGAGTCTATGGGAAGTGTTGAGTCTATGGGAAGTGTTGAGTCTATGGGCAGTGTTGAGTCTATGGGTAGTGTTGAGTCTACGGGCAGTGTTAGTCTACGGGCAGTGTTGAGTCTACGGACAGTGTTGAGTCTATGGGTAGTGTTGAGTCTATGGGCAGTGTTAGTCTATGGGCAGTGTTAGTCTATGGGCAGTGTTAGTCTATGGGCAGTGTTAGTCTATGGGCAGTGTTGAGTCTATGGGTAGTGTTGAGTCTATGGGCAGTGTTAGTCTATGGGCAGTGTTAGTCTATGGGCAGTGTTAGTCTATGGACAGTGTTGAGTCTATGGACAGTGTTAGTCTATGGGTAGTGTTGAGTTTATGGGCAGTGTTAGTCTATGGGTAGTGTTGAGTCTATGGGCAGTGTTAGTCTATGGGTAGTGTTGAGTTTATGGGCAGTGTTTGTTAGTCTATGGGCAGTGTTAGTCTATGGGCAGTGTTAGTCTATGGGCAGTGTTAGTCTATGGACAGTGTTAGTCTATGGACAGTGTTGAGTCTATGGGCAGTGTTAGTCTATGGACAGTGTTGAGTCTATGGACAGTGTTGAGTCTATGGACAGTGTTGAGTCTATGGACAGTGTTGAGTCTATGGACAGTGTTAGTCTATGGGTAGTGTTGAGTTTATGGGCAGTGTTAGTCTATGGGAAGTGTTGAGTCTATGGGAAGTGTTGAGTCTATGGGAAGTGTTGAGTCTATGGGAAGTGTTGAGTCTATGGGCAGTGTTGAGTCTATGGGTAGTGTTGAGTCTACGGGCAGTGTTAGTCTACGGGCAGTGTTGAGTCTACGGATAGTGTTGAGTCTATGGGTAGTGTTGAGTCTATGGGCAGTGTTAGTCTATGGGCAGTGTTAGTCTATGGGCAGTGTTAGTCTATGGACAGTGTTGAGTCTATGGACAGTGTTAGTCTATGGGTAGTGTTGAGTTTATGGGCAGTGTTAGTCTATGGGTAGTGTTGAGTCTATGGGCAGTGTTAGTCTATGGGTAGTGTTGAGTTTATGGGCAGTGTTAGTCTATGGGCAGTGTTAGTCTATGGGCAGTGTTAGTCTATGGGCAGTGTTAGTCTATGGGCAGTGTTAGTCTATGGACAGTGTTAGTCTATGGACAGTGTTGAGTCTATGGGCAGTGTTAGTCTATGGACAGTGTTGAGTCTATGGACAGTGTTGAGTCTATGGACAGTGTTGAGTCTATGGACAGTGTTGAGTCTATGGGAAGTGTTGAGTCTATGGGAAGTGTTGAGTCTATGGACAGTGTTGAGTCTATGGACAGTGTTGAGTCTATGGACAGTGTTAGTCTATGGGTAGTGTTGAGTCTATGGGTAGTGTTGAGTCTATGGGAAGTGTTGAGTCTATGGGAAGTGTTGAGTCTATGGGAAGTGTTGAGTCTATGGGAAGTGTTGAGTCTATGGGCAGTGTTAGTCTATGGGAAGTGTTGAGTCTATGGGTAGTGTTAGTCTATGGGCAGTGTTAGTCTATGGGTAGTGTTAGTCTATGGGCAGTGTTAGTCTATGGGCAGTGTTAGTCTATGGGCAGTGTTAGTCTATGGGAAGTGTTGAGTCTATGGGCAGTGTTTGTCTATGGGAAGTGTTGAGTCTATGTGCAGTGTTGAGTCTATGGGCAGTGTTGAGTCTATGGGCAGTGTTGAGTCTATGGGTAGTGTTAGTCTATGGGTAGTGTTAGTCTATGGGCAGTGTTAGTCTATGGGTAGTGTTAGTCTATGGGCAGTGTTAGTCTATGGGCAGTGTTAGTCTATGGGTAGTGTTAGTCTATGGGCAGTGTTAGTCTATGGGTAGTGTTGAGTCTATGGGCAGTGTTGAGTCTATGGGTAGTGTTAGTCTATGGGTAGTGTTAGTCTATGGGCAGTGTTAGTCTATGGGCAGTGTTAGTCTATGGGTAGTGTTAGTCTATGGGCAGTGTTAAGTCTATGGGTAGTGTTGAGTCTATGGGTAGTGTTAGTCTATGGGTAGTGTTAGTCTATGGGCAGTGTTAGTCTATGGGCAGTGTTAGTCTATGGGCAGTGTTGAGTCTATGGGCAGTGTTAGTCTATGGGTAGTGTTAGTCTATGGGCAGTGTTAGTCTATGGGCAGTGTTAGTCTATGGGTAGTGTTAGTCTATGGGCAGTGTTAGTCTATGGGTAGTGTTAGTCTATGGGCAGTGCTAGTCTATGGGTAGTGTTGAGTCTATGGGCAGTGTTGAGTCTATGGGTAGTGTTAGTCTATGGGCAGTGTTAGTCTATGGGTAGTGTTAGTCTATGGGCAGTGCTGAGTCTATGGGTAGTGTTGAGTCTATGGGTAGTGTTAGTCTATGGGCAGTGTTAGTCTATGGGTAGTGTTAGTCTATGGGCAGTGCTAGTCTATGGGCAGTGTTAGTCTATGGGTAGTGTTAGTCTATGGGCAGTGCTAGTCTATGGGTAGTGTTGAGTCTATGGGCAGTGTTGAGTCTATGGGTAGTGTTAGTCTATGGGCAGTGTTAGTCTATGGGTAGTGTTAGTCTATGGGCAGTGCTAGTCTATGGGTAGTGTTGAGTCCATGGGTAGTGTTAGTCTATGGGCAGTGTTAGTCTATGGGTAGTGTTAGTCTATGGGCAGTGCTAGTCTATGGGCAGTGTTAGTCTATGGGTAGTGTTAGTCTATGGGCAGTGTTAGTCTATGGGTAGTGTTGAGTCTATGGGAAGTGTTGAGTCTATGGGTAGTGTTAGTCTATGGGTAGTGTTAGTCTATGGGTAGTGTTAGTCTATGGGCAGTGTTAGTCTATGGGTAGTGTTAGTCTATGGGCAGTGCTAGTCTATGGGCAGTGTTAGTCTATGGGTAGTGTTAGTCTATGGGCAGTGTTGAGTCTATGGGAAGTGTTGAGTCTATGGGTAGTGTTAGTCTATGGGTAGTGTTAGTCTATGGGTAGTGTTAGTCTATGGGTAGTGTTAGTCTATGGGTAGTGTTAGTCTATGGGTAGTGTTAGTCTATGGGCAGTGTTAGTCTATGGGTAGTGTTAGTCTATGGGCAGTGCTAGTCTATGGGCAGTGTTAGTCTATGGGTAGTGTTAGTCTATGGGCAGTGTTAGTCTATGGGTAGTGTTGAGTCTATGGGAAGTGTTGAGTCTATGGGTAGTGTTAGTCTATGGGTAGTGTTAGTCTATGGGTAGTGTGTTAGTCTATGGGTAGTGTTAGTCTATGGGTAGTGTTAGTCTATGGGTAGTGTTAGTCTATGGGTAGTGTTGAGTCTATGGGTAGTGTTGAGTCTATGGGCAGTGTTGAGTCTATGGGCAGTGTTGAGTCTATGGGCAGTGTTAGTCTATGGGTAGTGTTGAGTCTATGGGAAGTGTTGAGTCTATGGGTAGTGTTAGTCTACGGGTAGTGTTAGTCTATGGGTAGTGTTAGTCTATGGGCAGTGTTAGTCTATGGGTAGTGTTAGTCTATGGGCAGTGCTAGTCTATGGGCAGTGTTAGTCTATGGGTAGTGTTAGTCTATGGGCAGTGTTAGTCTATGGGTAGTGTTAGTCTATGGGTAGTGTTAGTCTATGGGTAGTGTTAGTCTATGGGTAGTGTTAGTCTATGGGCAGTGTTAGTCTATGGGTAGTGTTAGTCTATGGGCAGTGCTAGTCTATGGGCAGTGTTAGTCTATGGGTAGTGTTAGTCTATGGGCAGTGTTAGTCTATGGGTAGTGTTAGTCTATGGGTAGTGTTAGTCTATGGGTAGTGTTAGTCTATGGGCAGTGTTAGTCTATGGGTAGTGTTAGTCTATGGGCAGTGCTAGTCTATGGGCAGTGTTAGTCTATGGGTAGTGTTAGTCTATGGGCAGTGTTAGTCTATGGGTAGTGTTGAGTCTATGGGAAGTGTTGAGTCTATGGGTAGTGTTAGTCTATGGGTAGTGTTAGTCTATGGGTAGTGTTAGTCTATGGGTAGTGTTAGTCTATGGGTAGTGTTAGTCTATGGGTAGTGTTAGTCTATGGGTAGTGTTAGTCTATGGGTAGTGTTGAGTCTATGGGTAGTGTTGAGTCTATGGGCAGTGTTGAGTCTATGGGCAGTGTTGAGTCTATGGGTAGTGTTGAGTCTATGGGCAGTGTTAGTCTATGGGAAGTGTTGAGTCTATGGGTAGTGTTAGTCTATGGGTAGTGTTGAGTCTATGGGTAGTGTTAGTCTATGGGAAGTGCTGAGTCTATGGGCAGTGTTGAGTCTATGGGAAGTGCTGAGTCTATGGGTAGTGTTAGTCTATGGGCAGTGTTGAGTCTATGGGCAGTGTTGAGTCTATGGGCAATGTTAGTCTATGGGCAGTGTTGAGTCTATGGGCAGTGTTGAGTCTATGGGCAGTGTTGAGTCTATGGGCAGTGTTGAGTCTATGGGCAGTGTTGAGTCTATGGGCAGTGTTGAGTCTATGGGCAGTGTTGAGTCTATGGGCAGTGTTAGTCTATGGGCAGTGTTGAGTCTATGGGCAGTGTTGAGTCTATGGGCAGTGTTAGTCTATGGGCAGTGTTGAGTCTATGGGTCTCTGCGTGTCTCTGCAGGTCTCTGTGCGTGTCTCTGCGGGTCTCTGCGGGTCTCTGCGGTTCTCTGAGAGTCTCTGCAGGTCTCTGTGCGTGTCTCTGGGTCTCTGCGTGTCTCTGGGTCTCTGCAGGTCTCTGCGTGTCTCTGGGTCTCTGCGTGTCTCTGTGCATGTCTCTGCTAATCTAGGGGTCTGTCTGGCAGTCCAATAAAGAAATTAAATAGGCCGTTTCCTTGATTCCTTCTGGAACACAGTCAGGGTTCAAATGTTCACTCCCAACACGGCGTTGCGGGGCGTTCAGGCCCATTTACACCACCGAGTCAAACCTCACCATCACGCAGACGCCGAAACAAACCCTCGCCAAACAAAGAGGGAGTGGGTGGCCAACACCACGCCCGGCCGCACTTGCCTCCTCAGTGGCGACGTTGACACACCGCACCAGCTACTCATCCGAGGCCGAGTCGACCTAGGGGAGGCCTCAGGACCATTTCAGATAATCGTCACCGGCGTTGGCCGCGAGTGGGAATCGAACCCGGCTCTGCAGGGTTCGCAACGCAGCGCAGCCGATACGCACGCCACCGCACCCCGACCCCGACCCCTGAGCAGCACGCCGATCCCTACGCCACCGCACCCCGACCCCGACCCCTGAGCAGCACGCCGATCCCTACGCCACCGCACCCCGACCCCCGACCCCGACCCCTGAGCAGCACGCCGATCCCTACGCCACCGCACCCCGACCCCGACCACTGAGCAGCACGCCGATCCCTACGCCACCGCACCCCGACCCCCGACCCCTGAGCAGCACGCCGATCCCTACGCCACCGCACCCCGACCCCCGACCCCGACCCCAGAGCAGAACGCCGATCCCTACGCCACCGCACCCCGACCCCGACCCCTGAGCAGCACGCCGATCCCTACGCCACCGCACCTCGACCACGACAACCCACTGAGCAGCGCGGTCGAGGTATGGTCGAGGTATGGTCGACGGACAACGCTGACGCCCGTCAAGCATGCCATCACCCCTCGCCGCCCCACCCCCCGCCCCGCCCCCCTGCCCCCCCCCCCCCCACCGCCCCCCCCGGTGCCCACACCTTGACCCAGGGGCTGGAGAGCACGAAGTACGTGTTGACGTTCTCCTCCCCAAACTGCTCCGCGATGTAGAGGCCCAGCGAGCCGTATTGATCGTAGACGCTCCTCTTCGTGGGGTCCGACAGGATGCAGTTGGCGCTGTTGATCTCCTGGAACTTCTCCGACGCGGTGGGGTCATCCGGATTCTTGTCCGGGTGGTACTTCAGCGCCAGCTTCCTGGAAACGGGCGGGCGGGGGTCGGGTGGCGGAGGTCGGAGGCGAGGAGGGGGGGGTGGGGGCGCACGGTCAGGGCGGATGGTTGCGGCTGTGGCTGGGTCAGAGGTCGCACCCGGGTACCCGATACCTATACCCTACCCGATACCCGGCTACCCTGGTGCGGCCGGGTACGGGTAGGCCGTGAGTCACTGGTGAGTCACCGTTTGTCACTCATTTCCCAACGTCTTGTCTCTTCTCACAATTCAAGTTCCTAGAATCAACCCACCCGCGCCTGCAACATGGCTTCATCCCAGAGGTCGCAATCGGGTACCCGTACCCTACCCGATACCCGGCCGGGTACGGGTAGCCGGGTATCTGGTAGGGTACGGGTACCCGATTGCGACCCTGGTGCGGCCGGGTACGGGTAAGGAATCAAAACCCGTTTGCGACCTCTGGGCTGGGATACACGTGTCCCGGTGTAACCCGTCTCCCCGCGCGCCTGCCCCGTGTCCCCGTGTGTCCCGATGCCCCGCTGTGCCCCGGCGTGTCTGCCCTCGCGTCCCCCCAAGTTGCGTGTGGCCCCCCGCCCCTCCCCCGTGCACCTGTACGCCTTCTTGATGTCGTCGGGAGTGGCGCCCTTGCGCAGGCCCAGCATGAGGTAGAGGCTCTCGCCGGACGTGGACATGGAGCGCTGGCGCCCGTCGGCCCCCGGGGGACCCCCGCGCGGGGCCGCCATGCACGCAGCCTGCACGCGCGGCGCACGCACACACGGAGGCAAGCGCCGTTAGCGAGTAGCACCTACGAAGGCCGGCACGGCGCACGAGGTGGCGGGGTGGGCGGCCAGCACGTCGCCCGGCCGCCTTCGTCTGCCTCGCGACGACGTTTACACATCGTGGAAGGTATTACTTTGAGGCCGAGTGGACCTAGGGGAGGACCAGGACCGGTTCAGATGATCGTTGGCCGTGAGCGGGATTCGAACCTCGACCCCTGTCGGGTTCGTGAGAGCGGCGCGCTAACCACAGCGCCACCGTTCATCCTCACACACTCTGGTAAAAAGACTAACACTGCCCATAGACTCAACACTACCCATAGACTAACACTGCCGCTAGACTAACACTACCCATAGACTCAACACTACCTATAGACTAACACTACCCATAGACTCAACACTACCCATAGACTAACACTGCCTATAGACTCAACACTACCCATAGACTCAACACTGCCCATAGACTCAACGCTGCCCATAGACTCAACACTACCCATAGACTAACACTACCCATAGACTCAACACTGCCCATAGACTCAACACTGCCCATAGACTAACACTGCCCATAGACTCAACACTACCCATAGACTCAACACTACCCATAGACTAACACTGCTCATAGACTCAACACTACCCATAGACTAACACTGCCCATAGACTCAACAGTGCCCATAGACTCAACACTACCCATAGACTCAACACTACCCATAGACTAACACTGCCCATAGACTCAACACTACCCATAGACTCAACACTCCCCATAGACTAACACTGCCCATAGACTCAACACTGCCCATAGACTAACACTACCCATAGACTAACACTGCCCATAGACTAACACTGCCCATAGACTCAACACTACCCATAGACTCAACACTACCCATAGACTCAACACTACCCATAGACTAACACTGCCCATAGACTAACACTGCCCATAGACTAACACTGCCCATAGACTAACACTGCCCATAGACTCAACACTACCCATAGACTCAACACTACCCATAGACTCAACACTACCCATAGACTAACACTGCCCATAGACTAACACTACCCATAGACTAACACTACCCATAGACTAACACTGCCCATAGACTAACACTGCCCATAGACTCAACACTACCCATAGACTCAACACTGCCCATAGACTCAACACTGCCCATAGACTAACACTACCCATAGACTAACACTGCCCATAGACTAACACTGCCCATAGACTCAACACTACCCATAGACTAACACTGCCCATAGACTCAACACTGCCCATAGACTAACACTACCCATAGACTAACGCTGCCCATAGACTAACACTGCCCACAGACTCAACACTGCCCATAGACTCAACACTACCCATAGACTCAACACTGCCCATAGACTCAACACTACCCATAGACTCAACACTGCCCATAGACTCAACACTACCCATACACTAACACTACCCATAGACTCAACACTGCACATAGACTCAACACTACCCATAGACTCAACACTGCCCATACACTAACACTGCCCATAGACTCAACACTGCCCATAGACTCAACACTACCCATAGACTAACACTACCCATAGACTCAACACTGCCCATAGACTCAACACTACCCATAGACTCAACACTACCCATAGACTCAACACTACCCATAGACTCAACACTACCCATAGACTAACACTACCCATAGACTCAACACTGCCCATAGACTCAACACTACCCATAGACTAACACTACCCATAGACTCAACACTGCCCATAGACTCAACACTACCTATAGACTAACACTACACATAGACTAACACTGCCCATAGTCTCAACACTACCCATAGACTAACACTACCCATACACTAACACTACCCATAGACTAACACTGCCCATAGTCTCAACACTACCCATAGACTAACACTACACATAGACTAACACTACCCATACACTAACACTACCCATAGACTAACACTGCCCATAGTCTCAACACTACCCATAGACTAACACTACCCATAGACTAACACTGCCCATAGACTAACACTGCCCATAGACTAACACTGCCCATAGACTCAACACTGCCCATAGACTCAACACTGCACATAGACTAACACTACCCATAGACTCAACACTGCCCATAGACTCAACACTACCCATAGACTCAACACTACCCATAGACTCAACACTGCCCATAGACTCAACACTGCCCATAGACTAACACTGCCCATAGACCCAACACTGCCCATAGACTCAACACTACCCATAGACTAACACTGCCCATAGACTCAACACTGCACATAGACTCAACACTACCCATAGACTCAACACTGCCCATAGACTAACACTACCCATAGACTCAACACTGCCCATAGACTCAACACTGCCCATAGACTAACACTACCCATAGACTCAACACTACCCATAGACTCAACACTGCCCATAGACTAACACTACCCATAGACTAACACTACCCATAGACTCAACACTGCCCATAGACTCAACACTGCCCATAGACTAACACTACCCATAGACTCAACACTGCCCATAGACTAACACTACCCATAGACTAACACTACCCATAGACTAACACTACCCATAGACTCAACACTGCCCATAGACTAACACTACCCATAGACTCAACACTACCCATAGACTAACACTACCCATAGACTCAACACTACCCATAGACTAACACTACCCATAGACTCAACACTACCCATAGACTCAACACTACCCATAGACTCAACACTACCCATAGACTAACACTGCCTATAGACTCAACACTACCCATAGACTAACACTACCCATAGACTAACACTGCCCATAGACTCAACACTACCCATACACTAACACTGCCCATAGACTCAACACTGCCCATATACTACTAGCACGCTTGGCTACGTACGGCACAAAAGAAGTTCCACATACAGACATTAACGTACATACATCAACATACAGAGCGTGGTCTCCCGCTCACCATCAGTAACGGTGGGCCTCGCCTAGGTCGACTCTGACCATAATTATTTTTTTCCAAGCGGCTCGTCCGAATTGCACCAAATTGCATTCTCCGTTTGGCGACGCTGCGTTGCCAGTGGTGCACAAACAAACAACGACAACAACCCCCGACACGCTGCATGTCAACAACAACAACCGCCGACAACCCCGTGGGGTCCCCTATATATAGCTCGGCTATGAAGAAGGCCCATTGCCTGAAACGTCACCCGTTTTAACATCAATTTAAGAAATATATTTGATTTTTACGTAAAGTATTATTGTAGGATGTGTTCAGTTTTTTGCATAGATTTTGCATTCGTCTGCGTGTACTATACTTGCCTTTCATCTGTTCTCCCGACAATTGAATCTCAAAGCTGCTGTTCCGTAAACAACAACAACAACTGGATGATGTTGCACGTAGACTCGTCACGAGTGCTTGAACCAGGTGAGAGAACGCAAGAGTGAGACCAGGATGAGTCACGGTGGGTAGCTAGGAGATGTTGACTACCTCGCCTGGTATGCAGGAGGTCATGGGTCTGACCCCAACCCTGATGCCTACTGCTGTATATTTAGAGTTTGTGTGTCTCTCTCGTCATCACCAGTGGCTAGGAGATGTTAACTACCTCGCCTGGTATGCAGGAGGTCATGGGTCTGACCCCAACCCTGACGCCTGCTGCTGTATATTTGGAGTTTGCGTGTCTCTCTCTCTCTCATCATCATCACGGTGGCTAGGAGATGTTAACTACCTCGCCTGGTATGCAGGAGGTCATGGGTCTAACCCCAACCCTGACACCTGCTGTATATTTAGAGTTTGTGTGTCTCTCTCATCATCATCATCGCGATGGCTAGGAGATGTTAACTACCTCGCCTGGTATGCAGGAGGTCGTGGGTCTGGCCCCAACCCTGATGCCTACTGCTGTATATTTAGAGTTTGTGTGTCTCTCTCATCATCACCAGTGGCTAGGAGATGTTGACTACCTCGCCTGGTATGCAGGAGGTCATGGGTTTGACCCCAACCCTGATGCCTACTGCTGTATAGTTAGAGTTTGTGTCTCTCTCATCATCACCAGTGGCTAGGAGATGTTAACTACCTCGCCTGGTATGCAGGAGGTCATGGGTCTGACCCCAACCCTGATTACTGCTGCTCTATATTTAGAGTTTGTGTGTCTCTCTCATCATTACCAGTGGCTAGGAGATGTTAACTACCTCGCCTGGTATGCAGGAGGTCATGGGTCTGACCCCAACCCTGATGCCTGCTGCTGTATATTTAGAGTTTGTGTGTCTCTCATCATCATCATCACCAGTGGCTAGGAGATGTTAACTACCTCGCCTGGTATGCAGGAGGTCATGGGTCTGACCCCAACCCTGATGCCTGCTGCTGTATATTTAGAGTTTGTGTGTCTCTCTCATCATCATCATCATCACCAGTGGCTAGGAGATGTTAACTACCTCGCCTGGTATGCAGGAGGTCGTGGGTCTGACCCCAACCCTGATGCCTACTGCTGTATAGTTAGAGTTTGTGTGTCTCTCTCATCATCACCAGTGGCGAGGAGATGTTAACTACCTCGCCTGGTATGCAGGAGGTCATGGGTCTAACCCCAACCCTGACGCCTGCTGTATATTTAGAGTTTGTGTGTCTCTCTCATCATCACCAGTGGCGAGGAGATGTTAACTACCTCGCCTGGTATGCAGGGGGTCATGGGTCTGACCCCAACCCTGATGCCTGCTGCTGCATATTTAGAGTTTGTGTGTCTCTCTCATCATCATCATCATCACCAGTGGCTAGGAGATGTTAACTACCTCGCCTGGTATGCAGGAGGTCATGGGTCTGACCCCAATCCTGATGCCTGCTGCTGTATATTTAGTGTTTGTGTGTCTCTCTCATCATCATCATCACCAGTGGCTAGGAGATGTTAACTACCTCGCCTGGTATGCAGGAGGTCATGGGTCTGACCCCAACCCTGATGCCTGCTGCTGTATATTTAGAGTTTGTGTGTCTCTCTCATCATCAT